TGCTCTTGTTACCCAGGCTGGAGAGCAATGGCGCGATCTCGGCTCACCACAACCTCCGCCTCCTGGGTTCAGGCAATTCTCCTGTCTCAGCCTCCTGAGTAGCTGGGATTACAGGCACGTGCCACCATGCCCAGCTAATTTTTTGTATTTTTGGTAGAGACGGGGTTTCACCATGTAGACCAGGATGGTCTCGATCTCTTGACCTCGTGATCCACCCGCCTCGGCCTCCCAAAGTGCTGGGATTACAGGCTTGAGCCACCGAGCCCAGCCCAGGTGATAGAATTTCTTAAGCCCAGATGTTTGAGGCTGCAGTTGGCTGTGGTTACGTCACTGCACTCCAGCTAGAGAAACATAGAGTCTCTCAAAAAAAGAAAACTACAGAAATATACTATAAAATATTTGTTAATATTTATAGCAGCAAAATTTGCAATTTCAAAAATATGGAACCAGCCTAAATACCCATCAATCATAGAGTGAATAAAGAAAATGTGATACTTAACTATACACACACACACACACACACACACACACATCATGGAATACTCAATCATTAAAAGAATAAAATAATGGCTTTTGCAGCAATTTAGATGATGTTGGAGAGCATTCTTTAAATGAAGTAACTCAGGAATAAAAAAATCAAAGATTATATGTTCTACATAGAAATGGGAGCTAAGCTATGAGGATGTAAACACATAAGAATTATATAATAGATTGGGGGCACGGGGAAGGGTCAGAAGGGTGTGAGGGTTAAAAGACTGAACATTGAGTACAGTGTAGTCTGCTTGTGTCCTGGGTGCACCAAAATCTCAGAAATCACTAAAGAACTTAACAAATGTAACTAAACACTACCCGTACCCCAAAAATGATTAGAAAAAGAATAATAGAAAACATACACACCCACACAAAAAAACCCACACATTTTTGCCATTTGGCATTTTTAAAGAAACATCTCTGTCACCCAGGATGAAATACAGTGGCTTGATAACAGTTCACTGCAGTCTCGACCTCCTGGGCTCAGCCAGTTCTCTTACCCCAGCCTCCTGAATAGCTGGTACTACGGTGCAGGCCACCATGCTCAGCTAATTTTTCTATTTTTTATAGCTATGGATTACTAGCCGTGTTGCCCAGGCTAGTCTCAAATTTCTGGGATTAAACAGTCTCCGTGTCTTGGCCTCCCAAAGTACTGGGATTACAAGTGTAAACTACCATACCTGACCAGAATCTTATTTTTATATGATATATAAAAAATTAAATATATTTAGATCTGTTAATGGAAAATTTGAAAAAAAAGTTTTATAAACAATATAAAATGATTTTTATCCTTAAATACTGATATAAAACAGTTAAAAATTACATCCTAGGAATTTCACTATAAATTAGGTTTTTAAGGTTAATGTAATATATATAAAATTAGTAGATGGAAGAAAAAAAACAGCTCTTCATAGAAAGTGTGTAAACAAAAGCAAAATATGCTTTTGATGAAAAAATAAACATTTTCTCTAGTTTGAAATTAAAGTTTCCTTCAAATTGAAAAAATAAAATAGAATGTAAATTCAAATAAAGTATATAAAGTTAAAACAAGTATAGGAGATAACCTATGTATTGAAAATGAGAGTGGTCAAAAGTGACATATGATGTATTTATTTATAAAATTTTATTTAAAATTAAATTTAGTATCAATACACTAATAAGTAAAAATTGTTTTCTCTTGAACAAAAATATATGATTATTAAAATGAACCAGTAAAGCCTGGTGCAGTGTCTCACTCCTGTAATCCCAGCACTTTGGGAGGCCAAGGTGGGCAGATTACCTAAGGTCAGGAGTTCAAGATGAGATTGGCCAACATGGTGAAACCCCATCTGTACTGAAAATACAGAAATTAGCTGGGCATGGTGGCAAATGCCTGTAATACCAGCTACTCGGGAGGCTGAGGCAGGAGAATTGTTTGAACTCAGGAGTCAAGGTTGCAGTGAGGCAAGATTGTGCCACTGCACTCCAGCCTGGGCAACAGAGTAAAACTCCATCTAAAAAAAAAAAAAAGACAAAATATTTTTGTTCACCTTTTGAATAAATTTAAAAAGGGGGAAAAATTGAAATGTTTCTCATGCTCTTTCTCAGGTTTTTTGATTGAAAAATGGAATCTTCTGCATCAGAGGTTTTTTTTTTTTTTTTTTTTTTGAGACGGAGTTTCGCTCTTGTTACCCAGGCTGGAGTGCAATGGCACGATCTCGGCTCACCGCAACCTCCGCCTCCTGGGTTCAGGCAATTCTCCTGCCTCAGCCTCCTGACTAGCTGGGATTATAGGCACGCGCCACCATGCCCAGCTAATTTTTTGTATTTTTAGTAGAGACGGGGTTTCACCATGTTGACCAGGTTGGTCTCGATCTCTCGACCTTGTGATCCACCCGCCTCGGCCTCCCAAAGTGCTGGGATTACAGGCTTGAGCCACCGCGCCCGGCCTGCATCAGAGGTTTTATTTTTTAAAATCTTAATTATCACTGGCTAAATAAAAGACTTCTGTGTTATGGTGACCTGTGATTCTATTTTGGTCGGGTATTGTAACCTTTTGACATATTTAACAGGGTTCTCAAAATGAAATTTGTTTAAAAAATGTCTTTAATGCTATAGAGGGCCAATACAGCATCCAAAAGTGTGAGAAGCAAGATTATTTGATATGTTAAATTACATGGGAAGCATTGTCAAATTAAATGATGTTAGACCTTCAACTTATATTCTAATAAATATGCTATTAATATTTATTCAAAAATCATATAAAATGTCTTAAATCTAATATATATGAGTATATACTCAGTCATAATAATTATTATGATAAATTGTAGTCCATGGATATAATCAATTTTTCATTTGTTTTTTCATAATTAAGTCATTTTCATGGTTAATGATTTAATTTTTTTTTTTTTTTTTGAGACAGAGTTTTGCTCTTGTCACCCAGGCTGGAGTGCATTGTCACAGTCTTGGCTCACTGCAACCTCTGTCTCATGGTTTCAAGCAATTCTCCTGCTTCAGTCTCCAGACGCCCTGCTAATTTTTATCTTATTAGCATTGAGGAGGTTTTACCATGTTGGCCAGGCTAGTCTTCAACTTCTGACCTCAGGTGATCCACCCACCTCTGCCTCCCAAAGTGCTAGGATTACAGGTGTGAGACACTGAGCCTGACTGGTCAATGGTTTAATTCTAATTTAGTTTCTAAAAACTTCAAACGCTTAAAAAAATCCTAGAGGAATGTGTCTATAAGGAGGTTCATAAAAAAATAAGGGCCCAGACAAGTTTAATACAGGTTTTTGATAATTTAAGGATCAAACCATTTGGACTGAGTAAAAATTGTATTTTAATGAAGATGGTGACTTTTGCAAAACTGCTAACCAAGGCGAAACAAAAAATAATTGAACTTCAGGAAAATACTGCAACATTTCTATGTTAAATAAGCCAGTAATGAATTTTTAAAGATATGTCATTTGAATAACCTCTTTGATCTAACTCAAATTATCTGTGATAACCCCTTACTATTATGCACCTAAACTAGAAAAACAAACCTGATATTTAAGATGACAAATTTAATGTTAAGTGTAAACTCATGGAGAAACCAGAATGCCAGCAGCCATTGGTTCATTTCTGAGTTCTTAAACCTTCCATTATTTAAAATGCCACGTTTCATTACTAATCACAGAAGAGATAAAATAATCAGTTAAATATAAATTAAATGTGTGTGTGTGTGTGTTTAGTAATTTAGTATCCTAGATTATTAAAATAGGTTAGGAACATGTTTGTTTGTTTGTTTGTGTTTGTTTGTTTTCCTTAAACACATAATCCTGAGAAGAAAATCTCAAGATTGGTGCTTATATTCACAGGAAGTAAAAGATAACCACATACTGATCATTAAGGCCAAAGACGATAGCAATATAAGTTTGCCTTTAGCCTATTTTAAAAAAATTTTTTTGAGACGAGATCTCGCTTTGTTGCCCAGGCTGGAGTGCAGTGGTGTGATCTCAGCTCACTGCAACCTCCACCTTCTAGGTTCAAGCGATTCTCCTGCCTCAGCCTCTTGAGTAGCCGGGATTGCTGGCACTCACTGCCACGCCTAGCTAATTTTTGTATTTGTAGTAGAGACAGGATTTTGCCATGTTGGTCAGGCTTGTCTCGAACTCCTGACCTCAGGTGATCCACCCACCTCAGCCTCCCAAAGTTCTGGGATTACAGGCATGAGCCACCGCGCCCGGGCTAACTAACCTATTTTTTTCTATAAGCAGCGAAGGTCAAGACTGGACAGATTTGAAGACAGTTTTCTTCCCTTGTGGCTCCAGCATTTTTTGTTCCCTGCTTGATCTCTGGAAGGAAGGTGGGCAACAGGTGGCCAGCAGTGGTCTACCTGTGGCTATTTTATTCCCAGTGCCTTCTGCCCTTTCTATGGCCACTATCTGTTCGACCCTCAACGCTGACAAGAAATGTTGGTAGGGAGAAGCTGTTCCCCTTACCTCTGGCAGAAAGATGTTCAGGCACTCCACCCACCTGACAGCAGAGCTGCACTTCAATGTGGCAGGTATTGGCCATGTGTGGCTCCTGGGTGCCTGGAATGTGGCTGGTCTAAACTGCGGTTTTCTAGAAAGGTAAAATACAGAATTAGTTTTAAATATTTTAGTTCCAAATATATATATACTTTATTAATAATTACATATTGCTCACATATTAAAATATTTTGAATATAGTGGGTTGTTACAATTATTTCCACCTGTTTCTTGTTGGTTTTTTTTTAAAGTTTGGCTACTAAAAAAATTAAAAGTCATGTGTGTAGCTTTTTCAGAGGATTGCCTCCTTTTTAAAATCCCAGGCTGCCTGCTCAAAGGACCAGAAGCTGGGAAAGTCATAAAATCCGAAGTTTTAAAATAATTATTATTTCTATTTGTGAGTAGCCATATAGTATATTATTTATATTATTTATAAATGCATATACCCTCTGAGGCGGGCCTGACTCAGCTCAGGGAGAAAGCCCTGCCTGAAGAGGTAGCAGCTTAGATTGTCACTCCATTCAGCCCCGCATCCGATCACATCTGTCACTCCGGGTCTGAGGGGGCGGGGTCTAGAACGTTATCTAATAAGAGACGCTGATCTGGGAACCATCCAATCGGGCACGCAGCTGGAGCGGACAGGGCAGCTTCCGGGATATGGCGGGGGCCTTTGTCTCTAGCTGAAGCCGGAGCTCCGTGTCTCTTCATTTCTGTGTCCTCTGCGCCTAGAGGCCCAGCCTCTGTGGCTCTGTGACCTTCAGGTATTGGGAGATCCACAGCTAAGACGCCGGGAACCCCTGGAACCCTAGAAATGGTGAGAGTTTCGGGTCCGACATCCCGAGAGAGGGGGAGGGGCTGTGGTGGGACTGAGGCCTCCCTGCAGTCAGCTCCGCGGTCTGCACCCCGAGTTCTTTCCCAGTTCGACCTCATTCCCCTTCAGCCATAATATGGCGGCTGAGCTAACAGGCGGGTCCCGGGAGTCCTGTCTCTTCCGTGCGCCCTGGCCTAATGCCTTTTCTAGGCGTTTCTGCACTCGCAGAGCCCCGTCTCTGCCAGATAGTGCAGGGACCACGGGAGGGCCCAGTCAGGACAATCCCCGACTCTGGGTGAGGGTTCATGAATGGGAAGAGCTTTGGTCCCTGTAATTCCCAGTTCCTTTTTTTCCCCTATTAAAAATTTATGGGAGTCGCCGTACAAAATTAAAGAATTTAATCGAATAGTGATTCAGAGACTGTTGCACACCCAACTGTGCTTTTTAGTTTGTGGCTTATGAGAGACGCTTGAATGAAAGACCGTTTTTTTTTTTTTTTCTTTTTTTTTTTTGAGATGGAGTTTCCCTCTTGTCACTCAGGCTGGAGTGCAATGGCGGGATCTCGGCCCACGGTAACCTCTGCCTCAGCCTTCCAAGTAGTTGGGATTGCAGGCGCCCGCCACCAGGCCCAGCTGATTTTGTATTTTTAGTAGAGAAGAGGTTTCGCCGTGTTGGTCAGGCTGGTTTCAAAGGCCTGATAACCGGCACTCCACCAGCCTGGGCCTTCCAGAGTGCTGGGATTACAGGCACCAACCATCGTGCTCAGCCAAAGGAAAGAATTTAAAGGTACACGATAAAGAAAACCAAATTAAGTAATTGATTAAGTACAATTACATACATCGCTTCTTAATTTGTATGATTAAGATAGAAATTTCCTGGTTATGTAATGAGAAATTAATTGGCAGCTTATGGTTGGTTAAGCCTGAATTTTGTTTTCCCCAATGTAGTAATTTACAAAAAAAAAAAAAAAAAATACATTTGAGTTAAATTTTTTAAAAAGTAGGATTCCAGGGACTAGAGCCACCTCAGTCTAATTGCCTGGCACTTGGTTATTTTTACATCCACAGGACTAATTTTATCCTAATTTTTCACAGCTGTTCCAAGCATGGTCTTGGGTCTACCCCCTACCTGCTATTTCTCTAGCCTAACTATGACTATCAGTAAAATAATAAATTTCCAGTTCTGACATTCCCAAATGCCAGCTTTCCCTATTTAATTCACATTAACTATTTTTCTTTTATTGTAAATTTTAGATACTATATTTTAATCATTTTTTGACAAAGCATATGGCACTTAAAAAATGGTTTTCTGTTTGAAAATATTTTTCATGAGAACAAAGTGAAGAACCATCTCCTAACACTGTATTGTAAATCATCTTTTGATTCTTTTCCTTTTATTTTCCCTAGGCACAGAGATTCGAAATATTTTTGTGTCAAGGTTTTTCTTTGGAAACTTTATAGGGTGATACATCCATAGCCACCCTTTAGTTTTTTTCCTGGTCCTCAGTTTCAGTACTTTCCGTGAATAAACCAATATACCCACCATGGCTATGCTATGTCTGTTAGAGTGTCTAGTGACTATCATCTCCTGGGTAATTTTCTCCCATAGGACAACATGAGGTATGGAGTGTAGCCTCTCAAGGAGTAGATGGATGCCCTGGGGCTGAGAAGAATCTCCTGGTGTACTCTTCCTTTGAAAAGCTAACCCCTTGATCTTCACTCAACCCAGCTTCCATTTCTTGGAGACACATTGCTGGCCATCAATCAGTTGCTGGTATTGACGGGAAAACACAGAAATAATTTGTTTTTTGAATTGTCTAAGATTTGTGAAAGAAAAAATAGCATCCCAAAAGAAAAACAGAAGTGACCCCAGTGAGATGGTGCAAAAGCGTGCAAAGTAAAATGCACTTGGGGCATTCACTTGAGGCATAGGGCAGTGTCTCCTGAGAGGGTGGCCATTGAGCACTTAAGTGAGTAGGATTGGGTGGGAGAATCTCTCAAGTGATTGGATGACCTGACTTGACACATATATCAGACACATCTGTTTTCTTTTTTTTTGAGACAGAGTCTTGGTCTGTTACCTAAGCTGGAGTGCAGTGGTATGATCTCATCTCACCGCAACCTCCGCTTCCCAGGTTCAAGCAACTCTCCTGCCTCAGCCTCCCAAGTAGCTGGGAGTACAGGCACCTGCCACCACACCCGGCTAATTTTTGTATTTTTAGTAGAGACAAAGTTTCAACATATGGGCATGGCTAGTCTTTAACTCCTGACCTTGTGATCTGCCTGCCTTGACCTCCCAAAGTGCTGGAATTACAGGCTTGAGCCACTGCACCCAGTGGACACGTCTGTTTTCTAATCAGCATCGCCACTGCTGAGGTTTGCCGCCCTGAAAAGATTTGTTCATGTATTTCAACTCCAGTGTTTTTTGTTTGTTTGTTTGTTTGTTTTTTGAGACAGAATCTCTATCTGTCACCCAGGCTGGTGTGCAGTGGTGTGATCTTGGCTCACTGTAACCTCCACCTCCCTGGTTCAAGCAATTCTGCCCCAGCCTCCTGAGTAGCTGACATTACAGTCGCACACCACCGTGCCCAGCTAAATTTTTTGTATTTTTTGTAGAAACAGAGTTTCACTGTGCTGGCTGAGCTTGTCTGGAACTCCTGACCTCATGATCCACCTGCCTCAGCCTCCTAAAATGCTAGGATTACGCATGAGTCACTGTGCCTGGCTGAGTTTGACTCCAGTTGTTGAACTGTAAATTGCATTCTATTGGTATGATTTGAATGGTAAGAAAATATTTGTAAAGGGCAGAAAAAAGGTGGATTTCAGAAAAAAAATCTGATTACATATTCTATTTGTTAAAAATTATTTATTTATTTTGTTTGTTTTTGTTTTGAGACAGAGTTTCACTCTTGTTGCCCAGGTTGAAGTGCAGTGGTGTGATCTCTGCTCATTGCAACCTGTTCCTCCTGGGTTCAAGCGATTCTCCTCCCTCAGCCTCCTGAGTAGGTGGGATTAAAGATGCCTCCTATCATGCCTAGGTAATTTTTGTATTTTTTTAAGAGACAGGGTTTCACCATGTTGGCCAGGATGGTCTCAATCTCCTGACCCTGTCATCTGTCCGCCTCGCCCTCCCAAAGTGCTGGGATAGGCATGAGCCACCACAACTGGCCCAAAAATTCTTACTTTTTATTTCTCAAAGTCAGTCTAGACAATTACTCAGGGGTGTTTATGGCTGGGTGATTTCAAACAATTTCAAGGCTTAGCTTTTAGAATGCCACCAAAGTAAACAATAAGAGAAATTTTTTTTTTTGGCTGTACAAAATACATTTCCACAAAAAAAAAAAAAGGTAGGTAATTGGTGAGTTATATAAATGATGAAAACATTCGTTTCTCTTTTTGCAGTGTAGATTTGTGACTGAACACCTGTGTTCTATATCCTGTGTTGATTTCTGATTATTGCTAAATTTTATGAGGAGAAATTTGGTACCTCTTAGACGTGTTCTCATATAACTAATTTTTTACTTCATAATTTTGATAAAATAATCCTTTTACTGGCTGAAATAGATACTTTACTTTTCTTATGGAAGTATAAAATGGAAGCATCGGGCAGGGCGTAGTGGCTCATGCCTGTAATTCCAGCACTTTGGTAGGCCAAGATGGGCAGATCACGAAGTCAAGAGTTCGAGACCAGCGTGGCCTACGTGGTGAAACCCTGTCTCTGCTAAGAATACAAAAATTAGCTGCGTGTGGTGGTGCGTGCCTGTAATCTCACCTACTCGGGAGGCTGAGGCAGGAGAATCGCTTAAATCACTAAAAAAAAAGTCTAGAAGGCAGATGTTGCAGTGAGCTGAGATTGCTCCGCTGCACTCCAGCCTGGGTGACAGAGAAAAAAGAAAAACATAAAAGAAGGAAAGAAATGGATGCACCTTAATATGTATGTATATATATATGAAAACTGTTTCAGTAATTTTGCTGGATTTTTACACTAAGTGAATAACTCAGACATGGAGATTAAACCTTAATCCCATCTAAGGTTAATATTGAGCCTGCAAAAGGAAGTTATTACAGGCCCAGTTAGTTTTCTCTGGGGAGCCATCTCCATAGATATCCCAGTCTGCTCACTTCAGCCATGGAAAAAGCCTTTATCCTAAGAGAAGCTACAGAGCCCTGGAAAGCTGGGGACCAACAGGCAGATGAAGTTAAGGTTAAGATGTTAAAAGACTGGAAAGGTCTTACTGAAGATGAAGTTGTTATTGTTTTGAGGCAGTTTCTAGATTTTATAAAATAAAACATTCATGTAAAAATTTTGAATTCCAAGAAAGCATTGTAGTAGGAGAAAGTACCAACTGTTATTGCAATTCTTAGACAGACAAGAGCTTTTTTAAATGGAAAGGATCAAACAAGATTAGAAAGAAGGTAGGAGGGGAATGGCAAAAGGAAGGTGATAAAATCAGGTTTTAAATTAGAGAATGTTTTACCCTGAAGTCAGAATGTTCTTAGGAGGGACATAAAATGGGGTTGTGTGTTGACTCAGACTGAGGGTAGCTGAAAGTTCAGGAGGCTGTGGGAAAAAGGTAAACTAAAGTAAAGCATGGTTAAGACGTATTTTATTTTGAACAGTGAAGAAAGATTTAACTTTTTTTTTTTTTAATAATGTGCAGCGCCTATGTCTGGAGATCAGATAAGTGAGAAAATAGAGCACTGTCTTAAGTTATATTGGGAAAGATGTTTCCTTTCATAAACTATTTATGGAGAACACAAAGGATGAAGAATTCTATTAATCATAGCTGTTTACCAGGCTTATCTATGTGCTTCATCTTTCCCCACCTCTTTTCTTGGGCCTATACATTTCTTCTGTTTGACTTTCTCTGGGTTGTGTCTTTTTTTTGGAGACGGAGTCTTGCTCTGTCACCCAGGTTGGAGTGCAGAGGCATGATCTTGGATCACTGCAACCTCTGCTTCCTGGGTTCAAGTGATCCTCCTGCCTCAACCTCCCGAGTAGTG